ACTAGCCTGGGCCACCCAGGCCAGGGCTGTCTGAATGGAGCCCATGTTTATTCTACCTTCTAGGCGGAAAAGAGGCTTTGCAGCTGGTATCGGGTCCTCTTCTTTTCCACACACTTCAACTCCCCCCCCCCTCGGGTGTGTTAAAACACCAGTGATTTGGGTTCAGGGGCTCGGGATGGCATTCCCCTAAGCTTTCATCGCCCACCACTACTCCAAGTGGCGATGAGGGAAAACAGAAAGAAATCGAAGTGATGGCATGGGCTGATGACATCACTTCCAGGGGAAAACCCAGAAGTGATGGCGGGTAGCTCTAGGGATGGCTGAAAACTCTCTGGTTTTGCCAAAGAGTTTTCCCTGAAGGTTGTTGGAAAGATTGGCAAAAATACTCAGATACTCAAAGTTTGCAATGGATCTTTGCTTCACTGGAGAGGAGGCACTTCTTTCTGAGTAAAAATCTTAGCTTCTAAGGGAAGGGTACACAGGAAAAGCTACCAAATAACAGAGACCTAAGGCTACATCTCTGCAGCTACAGGAACAGACTGACCACACCATCTCTCAACAACAACAGCAACAAAAGCAATGGAGATTCTTCTTCTTCTAGACCCCTAGAAGGAAATCACCTGAATACATTAACCAATGATTGTGAGTAAACAGACTTGGATTTCCCGGGCTTTCTTCCCATTGGCTCTGAACCAGGTTTCCCTTCCAGGTTTTAGTCTAAACAACAGCACACAAGGTAAACAGATTAACCCTATAATGACTTTGCAACACACACATATTTCAACAAAAGCAATGGAGATTCTTCTTCTTCTAGACCCCTAGAAGGAAATCACTTGAATACATTAACCAATTATTGTGAGTAAACAGACTTGGATTTCCCGGGCTTTCTTCCCATTGACTCTGAACCAGGTTTCCCTTCCAGGTCAGTTTAAACAACAGCACACAAGGTAAACCTATTAACCCTATAATGACCTTGCAACACACACATATTTCCAACAGAGGTGACATCATCTTGCCCACAGCTTTATCCCCCTACTACGATGGGGGTGAAGAGGAGCAAGCAGAGAGCGAGGGAACCGGGGTTCACGGTGCTCCAGCAGACCTACCCTCTTCCAGTCATCGGGAGACAGCTGCCGAATGAGAGGTTCAGGCACCAGCTCCTTCAGGAGTTTGGGGATGCTGGGGAAATAGGACTTGTCATCCTCAAATTTCACCCGATAGATCAGGGCCCCTATCTGCAGGACCTCCTCCCGGGTGCATTTGTGGTAGCCGCGGAGATACTTTGGTAATTCCTGTGCCGGAAACAGAGAGAGAAAGAGGGAGCATTGTGCAACACAGTAAGAACAAAAGGGAATAGGGAGAGGAACGGGGGATGGGGAGGACATTTTAAATTTCGATAATGCTAAACCATAGAGTTTCCAGGCATGGCCTACAACCAGCAGGGGACATGTGCTCTCAACGATGGTATGATTTCACTTCCAGGAACAACCTAGAAGTGACATGATTCCTCTCTAGCAATTGCCCAAGACTCTATGGTAAAAATCATAGAGTTCCTGGTGATTCCTAGAGAGGACTGATGTCACTTCTGAGTGTTCCCCCCAGAATATTGTGCTCCCCCTTTCTCAGCAGTCCCTGGAAAACACACAGATATGAGCGTGTTTCCCTCTCATCTCTGGCATCCTGTCAGGCCTGGTTCAGACAGGCAGGAGAATGGGGTGATACACCGCTGGACTGCACTGCTTCAGAGGGAAGATGACGGGTTCAAGTTTGGAAAGTGCCTTCAGCATAAAACTGCCATGCAGGTAAAAAAATTAGTGCCGCTGCCTCCAGGACGCCCACAAACAAGAAGACTGCATCAGAGTCATCCTTCCTGTCCTCCCCAGCAAATGACACAAAGATGCACAATGCCTCTGGTACTGGAGAGAATACATTCCATCGTGGCTACTAGCCACGATGGAATGTATTCTCTCCAGTACCAGAGGCATTGTCCACTCCCCTTTCAAAGCTTTCCAAGTTGGCAGCCAGGACCACATCCAGTGGCTGTGAGTTCCACAGGTTACGGTAACTATGCGCTGTATGAAAAAATACTTCCTATTGTCTGCCCCGCCTCTTCCGCCCTTCAGCTTGAGGGGATGACCCCCCAGGTACACGCATTATGGGAGAGGGTGAAGAGTTTTTCCCTGTCCACTTTCTCCACACCATGCATGATTCTATAAACTCACAACTCTCCTTAGTCACCTTTTTTCTAGGCTATACAGCCCTGAGCATTTTAACCAGTCCTCAGAGGACAGCTGCTCTAGCCCCCTTGATAATTCTGGTTGCTCATTTCTGCACCTTTTCAAGCCCCACAACATTTTTATTTTAGATGTGGTGACCAGAATGGAACACAATATCCCAAGTGTGGTTTCACCGTAGATCTCTATAAGGGCAGTAGAATAGAATCACAGAGTTGGGAGGGGCCATCTAGTCCAACCTCCTGCTCAATCCAGGAACAGCCTAGAGAGCATCCTTGGCAAGTGTTTGTGTAGGGCCAGTTTGGTGTGGTGGTTAAATGCACGGACTCTAATCTGGGAGGACCGGGTTTGATACCCCCACTCCTCTGCTTGTGCCTGGCTGGATGACCTTGGGCAAGCCATAGTTCTGTCAGAGCTGTCCTTGAAAGAGAGCAGTTTCTGTCAGAGCTCTCTCAGCCCCACCTGCCTCACAGAGTGTCTGTTGTGGGGAGGGGAAGGGAAAGGAGTTTGTAAGCCGCTCTGAGACTCCCTTGGGTAGTGAAGGGTGGGGGATAAATTCAATCTCTTCTCCTTCTTCTTTTACCTCACAGGGTGCCTGTTGTGGGGAGGGGAAGGGAAAGGAGTTTGTAAGCCGCTCTGAGACTTCTTTGGGTAGTGAACGCCTCCTCCTCCTCCTCCTCCTCCTCTTCTTCTTCTTCTTCCAGCTGCTGCTTAAGGACTGCCAGTGAGGGGGGAGCGCACCACCTCCCTGGGCAGCTGATTCCACTGTTGCACAACTTTTACTATAAAAAACAGTATTTCCTAAGATCCAGCCGGTACCTTCCCGCCCTTACTTTAAACCCATTCTTGTGAGTCCTATCTTCCGCTGCCAACAGGAACAGCTCCCTGGCTTCCTCCTCTAAGTGACATAGAATCACAGAACCACAGAACTGGAAGGGTCCATAGAGGCCATTTAGTCCAGCCCCCTGCTCAACGCAGGATCAGCCTAGAGCTTCCCTGACAAGGGTTTGTTCGGCCGCTGCTTCAAGAGTGCCAGGGAGGGGGAGCTCACCACCTCCCTGGGCAGCTGATTCCATCACTGCACAACTCTGACTGTCAAAAAGTTTTCCCTAAGATCCAGCCGTAGGATAGCGGCGGCTTTATTTTCTGTTCCTGCTCTGATTACGGCCAGCGTGGAATGTGCCTTTCCCCCCAGCAGCTGCACGCTGGGTCGACATTTTCATCAAGCTATCCACTGCCACCCCAAGGTCCCTTTCTTGGTCTGCTGCTGCCCGACGTCTACTCATTGATGCTGCGCGAGCGGGGCGTACCTGATAGTAGTGGAAGATGGAGTCAGCCATCGAATCCTTTCCAGGCACAGTGTGGGTCCAGAGCTTTTTCATGAAGAACACTTGGTAGGTGAGAGAAGGCACAATCCCTGCCCAAAGAAAGAACCACAGCAGCGGCAGTCAGAACTACGGGACCACCTCTCCGGGTATACCCCCATCTCCTGGTATACCCCCATAAGAGCATTATGCTCTGGAGAGAAGAACTCTCGATCTCTCTCCACAGAAACCAGACCTATGAGATTCTCTGCTTCACAGTCTTTAAAAGATCCTCAGTCACCAGCTCTCCATATTCTCCATATGCTAATTGACACATTGATTAACAATCCATGAAGTTAGTTGTAGATTTTCCGGGCTGTATGGCCATAGTCTTGGCATTGTAGGACCTGACGTTTTGCCAGTAGCTGTGACTGGCATCCTCAGAGGTATAACACAGGAAGACGGAGTACTCTCCGTGTCAAGGCGGGAAGAAAAATGGTAGGCACCTTGACACGGAGAGTACTCCTTTCTGTGTTATCCCTCTGAGGATGTCAGTCACAGCTGCTGGCGAAACATCACGTCCCAGAATGCCAAGACCACGGCTATGCAGCCTGGAAGATCTACAACACCTAATGAACTCTGGCCGTGAAAGCTTTCGACAACAAATTCATGAAGTTTCCACGTCCCAATCACTGGTTGTTGTGAGTCCTTCATTAGGAAGTGTGGCACCCGAGGTCTCATGATAAGTAACAAATGACACTCGAGTACCAAGCACGATCGATTCAGTGTGCTGGCATAAATCTATGCATGATTTGCACTAAAGTTACTGACATTTTTCTTTCTCTAAAGCATCTCTGCCTGAATCTGGATGGCCCAGGCTGGCCTGATTTAATCCGATGGCCGTGAAAGTTTTCGACAACAAATTCATGAAATTTCCACGTCCCAATCACTGGTTGTTGTGAGTCCTTTATTAGGAAGTGTGGCATCCAAGGTCTCATGGTAAGTAACGAATGTACACAGGAGCACCATGCACAATCATTTCAGTGTGCTGGCATAAATCTACGCATGATTTGCACTAAGGTTACTGACATTTTCCTTTCTCTAAAGCATCTCTGCCTGAATCTGGATGGCCCAGGCAGGCCTGATTTAATCCGATCTTGGAAGCTAAGCGGGGTTAGCCCTGGTTAGTATTTGGATGGGAGACCACCAAGGAAGTCCCAGGTCCTTACACAGGCAATGGCAAACCACCTCTGAATGTCTCCTCCCTTGATAACTCTACAGGGGTCACCACAAGTCAGATGCAAACTGACAGTGCTTTCCGCCACCATCTAAGCCTCCAGACGCGGCTGTCTCCTTCACAGCCGTTTTTGGAGGCTTAGCGACATATAAAGTGTCTCGAGGCTGTGGTCACCTGGCTGAAGGCCGGTAAACAAACTGAAAGTTAACCCAGACAAGACACAGGTGGTGATGGCTGGGAAGGCAGAAGGTTTGGTTGGAAGAAGAAGAGGAAGAGAGAGAAGAGATTGGATTCATACCCCGCCCTTCACTACCCAAAGGAGTCTCAGAGCGGCTTACAATCTCCTTCCCCTCCCCCTCCCCACAACAGACACACTGTGAGGTAGGTGGGGCTGAGAGAGCTCTTTTGAGGACTGCTCTGGAGAGAACAGCTCTGAGAGAACTTTTAACCAATGCTCCCGCTAAGCTGTGGAGTCTTGTGAGCAAAAATTCTCCTTTGTGAGCTACTGGCATTACAGTTGTGAGCCAGTGATTTGGCTACTGCATAAATTAGTTTGCTCTGGAGCCATCCTTCCTGAGCTAAGGTGAAAATGTGTGAGCCGGAGGCTAAAAAACTGTGAGCTAGCTCACACTAACTCAGTTTCGAGGGAACACTGCTTGTAACTGACCCAAGGTCACTCCAGCAGCTGCATGTGGAGGAGTGGGGAATCAAAGCCAGTTCTCCCAGATTAGAGTCCGTGTTCCTAACTGGTACACCAAACTGGCTCTCATCAGTTGGTGTTCATCTACCAGATTTAGATGGGGTTAAAGTTCTTTTTGGTAGATCAAGTTAAGAGCTTTGGGGTACAGTCTTTGACCTAGCCTTGTTAATGGATAAATAGGTGTTGCTTAGGAGTGCCCTCTTTCAGTTATAAAGGTAAAGGTAAAGGTTCCCTTGCTCGAAAGCCAGTCGAGTCTGACTCTAGGGTTGCGGTGCTCATCTCCGTTTCAAAGCCGAAGAGCCAGCGCTGTCCGAAGATGTTTCCGTGGTCATGTGGCTGGCATGACTAAACACCAAGGCGCATGGAACGCTGTTACCTTCCCACCGAAGTGGTCCCTATTTATCTACTTGCAATTTCTTGCTTTCGAACTGCTAGGTTGGCAGGAGCTGGAACTAAAGATGGGAGCTCACTCCATCATGCGGCACCCGGGTCTCGAAACTGCTGAACTACCGACCTTCCACAGCCTGCAGTTCAGCGCCTTAACCACTTGACCTCTTAAACTGCTTCTTATTTAGATGATCGAGCCACACTGATCCATGCCACTGCAACCACCAGACTGGACTACTGTAACGTGATCTGTGTGGGACTGCCCTTGAAGACATCCTGGAAGCTTCCATGGGTACTACATGCGGCAGCATTACTCCAGCACCATGTCAGCTGCACTGGCTATTTGCCTCTGGGGGCCAATTCAAAGTGCTTTTTCTGGGGTAGTTCCATTCTTCTGGGGGGCGGGTGTGTATGCAGAGGGCAGGTTGATACATAAAAACCAAGCAGGTTTCTATGTGTGTGCAGAGCACACTCGGATACCTCCACCACATGGACCTGAAGGTGTCATATCGATCCCCTGGAATTAAAAAAGCCCCATCACAGGTGAGAGAGGAGGAGCTCTGGAGAATTACCGTCTTTTGCTGGTCTCGCTTTCTTTATCCAGTCTGTCAAGTGTCTGACAAAGTCAAAGAAGAAATCGCCTTCAGGCACACTGATGACCTGGAAGAATTGCACGCGGTTCAGTCATCTATGAAACGACGCAAGCAGAAATCCTGCTTCTCAAGCCATCCTCCCCGCCCCACACTGCAAAGAACATCTCGCATTGGCTTGCAGTATAATACCACTTCTGGAAGATGTTTGGGCTAATGCCCAGTTCTTGCTGAGGTAGTAAACCTGCTTCTGAGATGTACCATTTTTTATTCCCTGAATGCAGAAAACTAGCATCTCAAGGGAGAAGCCTAAAGGCCAAACTGGATTTTATGGCATCCACGGAGATCTTTCATCGGGGAGCTTTGATTCTTGAAAGTTTCTTGCCTGCAAAGCTCGTTCGTCTCCAAGGTGCAACTGTACTCGAATACAGCTCTCCCACTGCAGACCAACGTGGCTCCCCTCCCCAAAACATCTTCTTTGAATAACACGGCCACTGTGCCAGCATACAGGCCATGATGGCTACTATGTGGAAGGATGCTGGATCAGGTGGACCACTGGTCTGATCCAGCATCGCTGCTCTTACGTTCCTTAGTGTTTTATATGTCAAAGCCTTTCTGAGCCAAAATACATGTCATGTTCGGGATTTGTGTTCAGATAACCTCGTGTGTACTTTAGCCTCAAAAACTAGGCAAGCATCTGGGGGCCCAAGGTGGGGACAGGGCTGCAGTGGTAGAGAAGGGGGGATTAACTTCCCCCCCCAAGAGCCAGTTCCCCAGGGGTACTTTTAGCCTCAATAAGGAAAAGGAGAAGCATAACATGAGATACATTGTCTTTTCCATCACCTGGACTAAGAACGATCTCACCCCAACATCTGGGGAGCGCAGTGCTCCTGTGGTGAACCCGTGGCACCGCTGAAGGTGCGGAGTTAAAAACTAGTACCTACGAGGTACTAGTTTCCTGAAACCGCGGGCCAAGGGCAGGCGTCTGATCGCGTTCCTGGTGGACTTATGTGGCATCCGCCACCCGCCAACGCCATCCCCCCGGGTGAGGTGCGGGAGGGCGGGGCCTGGAGCTCCCTGCTGGTGCCCGCTGGAGGTCGCCGCCGGCTGTGGGGAGGACACACTTCCGGTGATGTCAGGGGGTGTGGCATATGCTAATGAGTTATGCTAATGAGTCCCCCTAGCTCTTTTTCTATGAAATGACCCCTGATCAGGCCAATGGCCTATCCAGCCCAACACTCCTGTGTCACACCGTGGCCAAAACCCAG